TAGAATTTTGGATTGTCCCAGCTCAACTTGTATTTGGTGTTTGCTGACACGTTAGTTTTCATTAAGAAATGACAGTTTCTTTGTTTATTATTGAGCCCTCAGAAGTATTTCGAGGTAGGTTTATTTTGTTTATTAGACCTTGTTTGGTTTTAAACACGAGTTTCGTATTTTCAGGGTCTAAGGTACGGGTAATGTTCCAAGGTACGGACAGTATCCTATGGACAGGTGTCCTATGTAAGGATGTCCTATGGACGAGTGTCCATTGTATGCATAGTTTATCTTATGTACAGATTGCCCCAGTATGGATGTAGCGTAAGCCCCATGCTGCTTTGCTCCTGTTTTCCAGCCTAGTCGATAGTTACGGCTGTATTGGTTCATGGCGTACTCATTCTGGCCCCTTTCCTTGTATTGGCCAACGGTGAAGCCGAGAGGGAGTGCAGAGATACGAGTCCCAACTCATGCTGTACTGTTTGAAGCAGGATTGCCTTAAGAATGAACACCTAAGTTTAAATTTAAGTTCTGGTTTTTATGTTCTACATTTTCAGTCTCGAATAATTGGTACAGACTTTACGTCTAGTGGTTAACTTTTTTATGTCAGTTTAATATTTAAAATATGATTTAGATCTTAGGTTTCATTACGAACATATTTTGTAATAGTATTACTTTCTATATATAAATTGCGTCATTTTGACAGATGAAAAACCGAACAGATTCTAGAATCTACGGTTTGCAATATATCAGATTTAATATCGTATAAAATATAACAAATTAAATAAAGTAATGCTACCTTTTTTATATTATCAATAGCTTTATATATACTTTTTTATATTGTACTTTTCCATAGTCTTTTCATTGAACATATTTATTATTATTTTTAACATAACTTTCTTCGACATATAGCCACTATAATTATTAAAATTGTACAATGCTATTTACCATCAGAATCCATCATGAATAAATATAGTCATTAATTTTAAGCAATAGACAACTGTGTTTTCTTTCTCTGTTCATGCCTGGCGCCCAATATTTACATTTTCGATTTTTTTTATTGTTAATTAGTTTTTCTCCAGTGAAATACCTTATCCACGACTGCTCTACCGATGAAAAGCTGCCGTTTGCGGTGGTAATGTTTAAAAAACGTTATAAGTTGTACCAAAGTTTATGTTACGAATGGTTGTGTCTCAGTTCACTCAATGATGAGGTGTTCTGGTTTCTTCCCTCAGAATATGCATTGTCGCCGTTCTTTCTTAGCTTCAATTTACCATCAACCTTTCTTAATAACTCAATTTATAAATTTAATGCGACTGAATGATCGTTAGTAGTAATTAAAATGCATTTATATCAAGAGCGTTGTGTAAAAGGTCAAGACATTTTTTAACTGCTGCTTTTGCACTAATTAGATACAGAAAAAATACAAAGAAACAGATTTTAAATGAGCAGCTGACCTATCACGCGAATGTCAAGGGATATATTTAGTTAGGTTAGTTATCGAAAAAACTTTAAAATTAGTTGATATACCAGAGATATTTGAAGACTTTTATATTTATTAATAATGTATACTATGCAGTAAAATAAATGCAAATGCAAAGCAAAACCTCTTACAGGATGTAAGATGGCGATCGATTCTAATCGTCGTTAATCAATCGATGTCAATTAATATACAGAGTGAGTCTTAAATAAGTGCAAATATTTTCAGAGCTGATAGATCTCGATAAAAGAAACATATTTTCTCTTTCCCGTTTTTCAAATGAGTCTAAAATAACCGAGATATTTTACTTTGAAAATTAAAAAAAATTGAGAACCACTGGACCTTTTTTTGTGTTTTCTTTTTGTAAATTTAATATACTACCTATGTTGCCATATTATGAAGGTATTATGCTTTTATGCTATTTTTTAGTGTCCGGTGGCGTAGAGGTACAGGCTCTCGTCTACCAATCTCAAGGTGTGGGTTCGATTCCCACACCCGGCATTTTATCAGCCGACTATTTTTATTAAAATAAAAATAGTTTGGGTACTTAGGTCGACTCAGCCTTAAATGAGTACTTGGGAGTCACAATCCTGAGGTAATAATAGGCGGTTGAAGCGTAGTGCTAGCCACATTACCTTCCTTGTATACCGAATGGCTCTAGTATAGCAAGCTGTACCTTGCTACTCTCAAGGCGTTAAACGCTATATACGGGAGCAATTATTATTATATTATGCTTTTAACTAAAAATTATAAAAAAATCAAATATTAAAATTTTTTGTTTCGCGAAAAAAAAAAGTCATGGACTTGTTTCTGGCGTCGAAATATACCTACTGCCCCTAAAAATATTTGCACTTATTTAGGATTCAACCTGTATACTAAAATAATTTGCCATAGTTATAAAGTTCTTTCTATAAAGAATTATCACCCTATAATATTTACAGCTTGTATATAAATCGTGTAGCTCAATATATATCTTAAGAAAGTTTAATTTTAGTATCTATCTCGTAATACAAATTGATATATAACTATCCAAAACATCGCAAGTGTAAATAAGAACGTTAAGACTAATGAAGTTCGACGTAATAGTTTTCTTTTAGTGGTAATATGTTTCGAAAACTGCCAAGTTTCCAGTAAAACTTAAGAAATTTATTGTTCATAAACTAGATTAAGCTAGAGAAATTATTGATCTAGCCATTTGGTATTTTTACAATTTTAAAGCGGATGGGCTTTAAAACTTGATATCGAACATCAAATTTTTCAGTTTTTTATCATGTTAAAACATTATAGGATATTGTAGTAGGTACGTTATTAAATTTGATGTTTCGGGTAAGCTACAATCCGACTTTTATTTTAGTTTCAAAATTACTAAGGTGGTTTATAGAGTGTGTATACAGGGTGTTTCGAAATGCATGTGCCATCTCTCGTTAGTACTATAGTTACCGGAAAATATCATACTTTAACAATTAATCAAACAATTAATCAACACATTAATCAAAATTAATAATAACCATCTATCAAAGAATGAAATCGAATTGATACTATCATAGAAACGCCTTTTGATTTTTAGGACTTCAACCATATTTTCATGTTTTTCTTAATTTTCTTTAAACGGTATGGAAATTTGGAAAAGTATAAACGGGATTAGCCATTTTAGAACAAGCAAAAATTTACGAAGAGTGTATTTTTCTCAAAATATCAATAATAAAAAAGTTTTTTTTTTTCTCTTGTAAAGACAACCCGGGGACATACTATAGAAACTGCAAATCAGATACAAAAAAATTATGAAAATATTTTTTCTCAAATTCCTAAAAAAAATATAGATTAGGAATAGAAGAAAAAATTAAAAAAACTCGAAAAATCATCTTAATGAAATTATTTATTGTTCAGTGTTATACATTATTGTATTTTATAAGATTCCTCATTGTTTTTTCCTGCTAAACCTGTTCGAAACAAATCGTTTTTACCAATCAACCTCAAATAGCTTTCAATTTTTCCTTTTTATTTCTCGCAAACACTTTCTAATCTTTCCCGTGCTGCGACGAAAATAATATTTCCTATAACAGGCTAGGTCGAGAATGGCGTCATTTCGTAAACAATACTGACAGCAAAACAATAGACAAAATGCGATATCGTTTCCTTAGAGTGATAAATACAATGTGAGACACCGTCCGGCAAAAATAACAGACAACTAAAATTTTTTCTGCACTTTATAGTTCCATACCCATGTATCCATGTATTTATTGGTTCCTCTATAGATTTTAGAAGAAACTTTTAATGGAACTTTTGAAAGTATTATATTAGATCAGGCTACCTATCAACTTTGAATCTCTTCCGCTAAGCCGTTTTTAAATTATTTGCACAATTAGTTCCTTAAAAAAAGAAATTTGTACAAGGGTAAGAAACTGATTACCAGTAATTTATTAATCTTTAAATTAAAAACCTAAATTAAAGTAAAATTAAAATTAAATATTAAATTAAGGAAAAAGTCCCCGTGATACGAAAACTAAATACTCCGAACAACGGGCACCTGCCCCAGCATTCTTCAAGCAGAAATCTACGCTATTGAAAGATGCGTACAACTTATCTTAGATAGGAACTATCTGAAACAAGAAGTAGCCATCTTATCCGATTGTCAAACAGCCTTAAGAAGTTGGTCAAAGAATGCCTAAAGAAGCTAAGCATCTGAACAATTTAGGAAACGAAAATAAAGTCGTCCTACTCTGGGTGCCAGCCTACCAAGGGATAGAAGACAATGAAAAAGCAACGACCTATCTAGAAAAGGAGCGAACACTCCACTAACTGGACCAGAACCGTTCTGCTTCGCAAGTTGAAAGCAAGTTAAAGCAGAACTCAAGAATCTGGAAGACTCCATCCGAAATCTGGAACGGAAATCCCCCAACGGTCTGAGACAACCAAAGAAATTTCTCAGGACTCGGTTTTTCTTAACAGGACACTGACTCCTCAATAGTTTGAAGCTAAGAAACAACGGCGATTGCAGATTTTGTGGAGAAACTGGGGAAACACTAGAATACCTCATCAGTATGTACGCCGAGACAACAACCATTCGTGCTATAAACTTTGAGACCACTGATATCGGAGAACTAACCTCTGTAAAACCGTCTCAGATACTGGATTTTATCAGAGCCCTGACTGTATGATGAGTTATAACTCGAGAAAAAAAGACACAATAAATCTATAAAGTCGCGGTGATTAGCTCCCCTCCTATAAAATCTACAATCTACCGATGGATATTAAATATTATGGACCGAGCGAATAACAAATGTTAGAATGCTAGAAAGGATGAATAAAGAACAAGAACTATTAACAACAATAAAAGGACGGAAAGTAGATTATTTAGGTCATATTTTAGGAAAATACCAAACCAAACTATGAAATTTGGCAAGTAATACCGTCTAATACTACAAGTAGGTATAGGTGTGTAATTAAATCATAAAAATAGTCTTTATACGGAACCCTCTGTGAGCGAGTCCGACTAGCACTTGTCCGTTTTTTTATCACTCTGATATCTTACCGTTATAATCTGCAATGATGTCCCGCCAGTCATCCTCCAGTTTGTAAAGGGCGTCGATAGATTCGCACTGTCCTTGGGGATAATCGACGTTTTGCGGGATTCCCTGTCGGCTGTATCGGTCCAGTTGTTCGATCAGGGCCTCGTATTTGAAGTCCTGCAAATTAAGAGAGACAACGTATAAAGCAATGCCTAGCTCTAAGATTATTTACGACAGATAAGTGGCCTACTAAAAATAAAACTTAGGGTTGGAAATATTGTAAGATTAAAATTTAGAGAATACTGCATTATTTTCGTGAAAACAAAAAATACTATACGTTTTAGAAATTTTGTCTGGGCATCAAAATCGGGTCTGTGTGAGAGTATAAGAGGTGAGCAAATATTGAACGAGTATTAAAAATAAATCATGGATTCACCGCTTAGAATATGGTTCCTTCAATTGAATCCTGGCCACCTTTAATCCATAATTTGAACTAACGAGTCGTAAGAATTGAGTCGGATCACAAAGCGACTTGTTCATTTCTATGGCTCGGTCGTTCAAAGAATCGTGAGAATTGATTAATTGCTTACAATACGGTTCGTTTAAAAACAAATATTAGAATTATACAGGGTGTCCCAGGCTGAGCGTGCATTAGAAGTTTCTAGAGAACTACAATGACAATCGGAGATTTTTTGCGCATTATTGTTTCACTATAATCACTTAAATCATCGATTAAAAATATTTTCAATATGGCGGTACTTCTGGAAATACCGAAAATTGACAGTAACTTCGTTATTTTAAATAGGCACCCCCATTTTTTATTAAATATTTAAATTCCCTCTAAAAACTTTAAAACTAAATCTTAAATAACTAAAAAACTATTTATTTTAGGTATAGGAACATGCATAATCAAAAAGTAACGACTTGAAAATCCTCCTCACTAGAGAAATAATAAAAGTGGGTTTCTATTTAAAAAAAAAATATTTGCTATAATTTTTTAATCTGTTAATTTCCTGACAGCTACGACCAATATTATATGACATTCAAACAATTTAATTTTTGAAATAGATAGCCACATGTTTTCTCTCTATGTTACAGTGGCTGTGGTAATCACTAAATTTGAAGTTTAGGCTATGGAATAATTGCTTTTGACAGGCAGTTTTTTTCCACCAAAAATTTTAATGTTTTTTTCTATTTAGTTAGTTATATTCTATATTTTATATTTTTATTAGTTATATACTACCTGGTGTTGCATCGTCGAGCGGGACATAGGCAATCCCATGTAAATTTTAATGGGGTCAATTATTGACTTCCCTAATTATTTTAGAGAATAATTCTATTTAGGTTTATTGAATGGTTTTTAAAACCCACATTCAAAAGAATAACTTTTAGATATTTTTGATTAGCCCGTTTACGAGTTATCGCCGATTTCTTTATAAATATTTCTCCTTTCTTTATGGCCCTGTATTTACTTATGAGCACCAGTCAAGGTAAAAGATAATTGTCAAATGAAGTTGCCATTTCAGAAATTTACCTATTTAATGCTTTATTATTATTGAAAACTCATACCGAAAAAGTATTGATGATTAAAAGGTATTATCAAGGAAATAGTTATCAAAAGGTGTCGGACATGTTTGCTGCTCTGTATCCGAATAGACCGATACCTGGAAAATCTACAATGAAAAATCTAAATAAAAAATAATAAATAACTGTAGATATGAAGCAAGGCAGGAACAAAGAGAAGATGCAAGAAATGATACCGACTTGGAAGTTTTATTGTGCGTGGAAGAGAATGATGGAAAGATCAGCACAAGGAAACTTGAGGATGAAATAGGAATATTTCATATATATTTTTCATATTTCATTATATTTACACAAGGATAAAAAATACGCAAATCTAGACGAGTTAAAAAATGCTATTTCTGCCGAATGCAATAGAATTTCAGTTTACCAACTAGCGAATGTAACAAGAGAATTTTATGATCGCCTGGGTTATTGTCTAGCAGTCGATGGAGGAATGTTTGAACATCTTAAATCCTAAAGTTCAAACAATTTAATAGTACCTAAATTAATAAGTTATTGAATATTGTAATAATACTATAATTAACCTTGTAACTGATTACTTTATTTTACTTTAATTCATATTAATTTGTATTTATAAATACATCTTTAAAATTTCCGATGTAAGAATGAGTTTTCAATAATAATAAAGCACTAAATAGGTAAAGTTCTGAAATGACAACTTCATTTGACAGTTATCTTTTACCTTGACTGGTGCTCATAAGTAAATACAGGGCCATAAGAAAGGAGAAATATCTAAAAAGAAATCGGCGATAACTCGTAAACGGGCTAATCAAAAATATCTAAAAGTTATTCTTTTGAATGTGGGTTTTAGTGCTCTTCAATAAACCTAAATAGAATTATTCTCTAAAATAATTAGGGAAGCCAATAATTGACCCTATTAAAATTTATATGGGATTTCCTATTTCCCGTCCGACGATGCAACACCCGGTATATCAAAATTCATAAAATTAAATAGAGAATTTCAATATGTAATAAAAAATGGTGGTGCCTATTTAAAATAAGAAAGTTGCTCTCAAATTCCGGTATTGCCCGAAGTGCCGCCATATTAAAAATATTTTTAATCGATAGATCTCATAGTGAGACAATAATGTGCAAAAAGTCTCCGATCTAGATACTGTAGTTCTCTAAAAACCTCTAATGCACGCTCAGCCTGGGACACTCTGTATATTATGAGCTTGGCTATCCGAAGAATTTAATCATCTGCTGATGATGTTAACATGGTTAGCGAAACGCGCGTCCAGTGTAAAAGTACTTAAAAGTGTTTTGGTGTATTGTGGTGATTTAGTGTTTTATTTTGCAATATTTATATTTACAATCCTGCTAATTAAATTCCAACTCAAGAAATAAATTCAGAAAAAAATATTCAATTAACATTTAGCATGCGTTTGCAGCCCTTTCCCTTCATATCTAGATATAAACTATATCTTTTTTATGTCGAAATCAAAATTTAAATACATCAAAGAGACATAAAAATCCAGACAATTTTTTCATAAACAGTTTTATACTTTTTTATTTCTTTTGATACATTAACGGAAAAAAATAACGGTTAAAAAGTTAAAAAATAGCCGGCTTCCAATAAATGGCTTCAAATCAGGGGGAAACATTTCCAGACACGATATTTGTGGCGAGATTTAATAATTTCAACAGACACGAACGATTTATCAAAGATCTAGACGATTTTTTTCATGCTTCTTATTTTTATTCGATTTTTTTGATGCTACTTCACACAAAAACGAAATAAACACGATGTAAAAAGTTATAATAAATAAGTATCTTTCAATAAAGTACTCGAAATCGGTGGGAGAATACTTTTAGAAACTTTACAGAGGTTGGCCATTTACAGGGTGTTTCAAAAAACATGTGCCATCTCTCATGGGGGATTCCTCAGATTTATTTTTTATACACATGTTTTTTTTCTGAATGCCAATCGGAAAATGTCTGCAGTAGATTCTGCAGATAAAAATAAGTAAAAAAGAACTGATATATATTGTTAGAAATATGATTATATAAACAAAGAATTGATTTATTTTTGGGAAGATAAGCACGGACCGCTGTCGGTCGCGCCAGTGTGATGAGACACTTCAGCACGCTCGTTTCAATGCTGTCTGTGTTTATTAGTTTCCTGACGTATTACTTGTGATTTATAGTTGATTAAATGTGTTGAATTGTAGTTTATCGGAAAGGTTCTGTGTTTTTATTATTTAATTGCTAAAATCAGAAGTGGGATAGAAACTTGGAGGATGCATTTGAATAAGATAAGTACATATTTTCTAATTAGGTTTACAAATCGAAAGTATTGGTTGATGTTTGTGGCTTTGGAAAATTACGAAAAGTTAATAGTTCACTTAATCAGTTGTGTATAATAAAGTAAATTTTTAAAGAAAATGAGTCACGGCGTCATGTCGCAAAACTCAGAAGCATTTCCGTATTGAGATTGAGCATTGCAGTGTTTATATTAAGCAGTTGGAACATTTAGCAGTTTTAGAGCCTAGACACCAAACAGCCTGTATAAAGTTACGGAGGGAAATATTACAATGATTATTATTAAAACAAGTATTTTCTGCATTATTTCATAGCGGTTTAAGTTTAATTAAGTTTTTATAGTCTGAAATTGTCTGAATAAGTTTTAGTGATCTGTTTATTAGTGGTAAATACATTGGTACAGAATGGTTGGTTTAAAATATTAGCCACACCGTTTAAATTTTAATTCTGAATAAGTTTTTTTAATTGCATAACAAATAGTATACAGGAAAGTTTTTGTCAAGAAAAAAATACTGATCGGTATTTATTTAAGCAAAGTGATAAATATTGTCGCTTTTGTTTGCAAGGCTGCTGTTGTTTTTTTTTACTTATTTCTTGCAGGTTAAAATAGTTTTGTTGTTTTGACTAAATTAGTCATTATGTCATACATGCCATATTTTGTTATTGGGTCATTCTCAGCAAGCGTTATGTTTTTATTTTATCAAAGTATTAGGAAAATTAAACATTCTAACTGAACTTATTGATTATTACTTGTAAATAGTAATATTATTCGTTACATATAAGAATAAATGAATGATCCTGAAGAAAACAGTTGCATTTGTTATGTTTGTTTCTATTTTTCTCAATTTGTTTTATTAAAAATGCAAAAAAATTGTGAGTTTATTTTATCTGTGGTTTTATGCAGGGGATTTCAACTAACTAATTTTAAAACGCAAATTATTAATAGATGAGATGCATTACTGAAATGACACTTATTTTTTGTATATGTGTTGAACTAGTTTTGTTTATTAGTCATTGTCTACTTAAGTTTTGGTATGTATTGCAGAAATATTAAAAAAATGATGATAAAAATATTAATTATGATTAGTTAATGTAGATATCAGGATATGAATGGCACGTGTTAGAAATGAATGTGTTGAAAGCATGGACGCTTTGCACTGTGAGTAATGTGTGAGTGGGTGAGTGCTGTTAGTAATGTAATAATTTAGTAGTGTTTTAGTAATATTTAGGTGTTGAAAGCATGGACGCTTTGCACTGTTGTAGTATTTGAGTGTTGAAAGCATGGACGCTTTGCACTGTTTTAGAGTGTTGAAAGCATGGACGCTTTGAAC